GAATTTTGGCGGTTCACCCACCCCGAATCGAAGAAGGCAGCCGTTCAAACTACGAGTGGAACGCAAAGTACTTGCCATTTTCCAACGACCCAGCCTTTCAAACCACACACAACCTCGCTTGCGACGAGGCAAAAGTCCATGGGACAGATGACGTCACACACTCCACACTTTCACAATAATCAACCCCTTTTGTGGGACTTGGAGAGAGAGAGAGAGAGAGAGAGAGAGAGAGAGAGAGAGAGAGAGAGAGAGAGAGAGAGAGAGAGAGAGAGAGAGGTGACGTCAGACCATCAGTAAATAGAAAGACCAACTCGTTTGAAAGGCAGACAACTTGTCTGCACAGCTGATAACGTACATCAACGCACTGCAATCGTATCGAGGGTACGGTAAGAGTAGAACACGACCGAAAACCTTGCTTTGCTCTCGGACTAGCATCGGATCGACGCCGCGTTTCAAGTAGAACACTACCAAAAAGATCGAACTGCTGCTTGCATTAGATGGCTGATAACGCATGTCAACACACTACCATCGCTGACAAAGCTTCAAGTGGTGTTACAAAACTCTATGACGCAGCGTTTAAAGTCTGTCTCTTATACACATCTACAAAGCTTCAAGTGGTGTTACAAAACTCTATGACGCAGCGTTTAAAGTAGGAGACGAGCAACAAAAATTGAACTTTGAGAACACCATCTGCGACAAGACCAACTTCCACGCATAAATACAAGTACAACTACCGCGAATTGCTGCTATCCGGCCCTGATCGGATCGAGGCTGCGGTAAAAGTAGAACACGACCAAAAACCTTGCTTTGCTCTCGCACTAGCATCGGATCGACGCCGCGTTTCAAGTAGAACACTACCAAAAAGATCGAATTGCTGCTTGCATCGGATGGCTGATAATGGACATCAACACACTACCATCGCTGACAAAGCTTGAAGTGTTGTTACAGAACTCTACGACGCAACGTTTAAAGTAGGAGACGAGCAACAAAAATTGAACTCTGAGAACACCATATATGACAAGACCAACTTCCACGCATAAATACAAGCACAACTACCGCGAATCGCTGCTATCCGACCCAGAAGATGGACTGTTCCTACGAGGACGCACACTTCGGATGGCATCTGCAAGAAGAAGATAACCCTTCTCCACCCTGTCCCCAGTTATAGTGGCTATCCTCTCACGTGACGCAATGTCCTGCTGCATAAATTCCCGATGTAGCTCAGCCTGGTGCCTTGCGATGTCACGTGTCGCTTCGCAACGCATCTTCACGCACTCCCTGTCAGAACGTGTCAGAGCAGTGGTGTGATCACGCATAGCACCTGTTATAGCCTGCATACTCGACTCGCGTGCATTCGTGGCAGTTCTCCTTCGTTTACCGAGCACGGGATCGAAGCCCGTTGAATGCGGCCCTCGTCGTGAATTCCCAAGCCCCGGTGAACTGCCCGACCCGGTCGCCGGGTCTTCACTCCCTCCTTCCGTCTCACCATCAACGTCATTGCACCTCTCACTGTCCTCAAGATGCTCCTCATCCGCCCCTGATTCCATCAAATTCGTCAGATTAATGGAGTCCTTGTCTTTCTCCACTGGGTGTATGATGTCATACGCCGCCCGACGGAGAACGAAGTCGATGTTGTACTTCTTCTGCCTCGATGCGTTCATGTCCCAGTAACTCGGCAAACCAGACCAGCCTTCGTGCGCCTTCAATCTTCGGTAGTAGTCGAGGAGTGTGTTGAACTTGTTCTTGCACTGATCAGCATTACGGTTGAAGCCCTTCCCCTTCATGCGCTGCTCCACATCCTTCCAGAAACCTGTTTTCAGCCTCGCGTGACCCAACGGCTCTGTCTCTTCCCCCAGAAGACTCTTCACTTCATTCCTGAACCGTCACAACCACTCAGTCTCGGTCTCCCCATGCCGATCCGTAGTCTTCTCCCTTGACGGTGGTCGTGTTGGGGGGCCTTTGGATGGCTGTGCCGTCGACGTGCCCGCCGAGTTCTCCACACTGCATGGAGTGTGCTGCGAGGTGGACGGCGCAGCGACCGGAGACGGGGTGTTCAGACCTTCAAACGGCACACGTGGGGGAGGGCTGCGCCCTGCGGCCGTCGGATCTGCAACTGCATCGCCTTCGACCGCCGTCCTCGTTGGCCACTCCACCGATGGGACACCAGCTTCATTGTCCCGAATGATGCGGTTGATGACGTACTCCGGTGACCCGGTTCGTGCTCTAGGCGGCTGCGGTGAACCATCTCGAGGGATCGGCTCAGGTGACAGTGGGAAACTCGCGTGGCGAATCGCCGACAGTGCTTCTGGGGGCGTTGACGAACGGCACCCCACCGTCTCATTATCCACAGAACTGACTATGGAGGGACCTGGACTGCCATGGCCGCGTCCGTCGTGACGAACAGGAGATGTCATGAGACCACTCATGCCACGTTCGTCCGGTGACATAGAAAGCCCGTCTGACATGGCCATCGCACGCATTCGCAGTTGCTGCCGAAGAGCAACCTCATCCTCTCCGCTTAAGCCGATTCGGACCCCCCCCACGGGCGATACGGGAGATGAAAACTGTCTGTGACTAGTGACAACAGAGTGCACTGGGACGTCGGTCACAGGAGCTGTGACATGTGCATTGTCTGGGCCATGGACGGGCCCCCCACTCCATGCTGGACCCCCGAACAGGAAGGCAGAGCTCGTGTGGGGCCGCTGCACATCTCCCTCCGCTCCTCCGATGGTGTCTCCAATGGGACATTGGGACTGGGAGCCAGAGAGAGAGAGAGACTGCTGTTGCTGTCCCGCCACCTGTGATGACGAAGCAAAACGTGCAGCAGGTGGGGCCTCATTCTGGGTCTCCGAGCAACCCCAGTCTTCGATAGAAGACAGGCCTGCAGGCTGTGAGTACTGGTCCATGGAGGGCTGTTCGTCGTCTTCCGCGTTCACTCAGTTAACGGTGCAAGACGACGAACTGCAGAGGAGCGAGACGGAGAGAAACGGACTTTCACGAGACAGCATATCCAGACGTGCACAAGACGACACTTTTGCATGTCGTGCTGGATAGGGCGAGAGGCTGAGGGCGACACCGTTCATGCGTGTCAGTACAGCACGAGCACCTGCCTGAGGCTGCCTCCCTACGAAAAGCCTCGCCACAATCTGTATGTTCCCGTACCCGGCGGCTACGAGCATTCAATTTCTTGATTTGTAACCCATAGACCTTACCCTTTGCTTTAGGATATGCCATGCGTTTCCACATGGGGACTTTCCTCTTTCGGAAAGTACCGCACGGACTGCGTGGTCAACCTGAAAAAAAAAGGAGGACGCATGACTTCCACAAACGGGACTACACTTCAACATGCGCGAATTTACCAGAACCTTATTGCGGACACATACACCCACGGTTGCAAGACATAAGGTTACAACACTGACACTGTCTGCGACGGCGCGTAAGAAGGCCTCTCTCTACTCAGTAATTTATTGGGCAAGGCGCATATTCTCTATTTTACGACATAAAAAAAGAAAAGAACATCGATGCACCCCCCCCCCCCCCCCCCCCCCCCCCCCCCCC